AGAGAGAGAGAGAGAGAGAGAGAGAGAGAGAGAGAGAGAGAGAGAGAGAGAGAGAGAGAGAGAGAGAGAGAGAGAGAGAGAGAGAGAGAGAGAGAGAGAGAGAGAGAATATGAACTGGTTTGAGAGAGAGAGAAAAGAGGGGGAGTCAGGGCAGTGCGTGCAGTACCGGAGGAGGAGTTTACTGCGTGCGCTGAGCATCAGCCAGTCAAAGGGGTGAAATGAGATGGTGGCGTAGACTCCGAAAAGGGGTCAGGCAGGGATGGCAGGCAACCAGATCGAGGGGAGCGGGGAAGACTTGCTGAGCAAGCAAGCGTCTGCACGCACCGCACGTGCGTGTGCCTCGTTGCTTTTGTGTTGTAGGGATGAAGAACGTGGGATTTGTATGCACGACACGGGGCAACGTTGAATCGTTGCAGTGTGCGCAGGGGATGCAAACATGTAGCGCAGCGGGTTTGGAAGCGCACCATAAGCAGAGCTGAGTCAAGGGGGCGGGGTGAGGCAAGGGAAGACTGCCGGCGCGTCTGTCTGTGCGACCAAGATCGCTAGGTCGAGCGGGAATCAGCTACATCCGAAGGATGTGCGATTAGATCGTGCTGACAGCGCAGGAAGGGGGGCACCAAAAAGGGGTGGAAGCATTGACAGCTTTTTGAAAGTTTGGGGAAAAAGACCAAAGCTGAGGGGAATTTGATGTTCGCCACCCTAAGTATTGACATGGGTACCACCTCACTCAAGGGGTCAGATCCCTTGAATCCCACTGCGTGGAGAAAAACAGTATCACATGCTCAAGTCATAGTGTGATCGAACCCACACTATGAAACCCAGTCCTTTTGCTTTCGTCAGAACTTGTCCACGCTCGAGCCTGAGTTCGAAACTCCACCTGAAGCAATGGCAGCGCGAACCAAGCGTTGAACTGTCTAAGCAGTGATGGCAGCAGCAACGGACTGCAGGCAGGGGTCATCACCTTGAAAAGAGGGTGGGTGGTTACCTCGACCGGTTGATGATGGACAGTGGCCCTTGATACACTCGAAGACGCCGCCCGGTCAAATTACACATCAATTAGGGAAGAAGAAAAGCGTACCAAAAAGCTTGATGAACACTCGCATTCACTCTTGCAAATCACAACAAAGCAAAGAAATCAGACTCGTACGAGAGGACCAGCTCACAAACATTGAACAGTCAAGTGCAAGAGTCCAGCCGCCTACGCCGAGACGACGCTCACTCGTCGCCCGGTTGCGGGCAGAGCATGCTCCTCTTCAACGTCAGATTGAGCAAAATCCGTGATAGCATCCACGTCCGTGCTGGTCACGCGCCGTTCTCGCGTAGAAGTGCGGTAGGCCAGTTCATAAGTTGGGTCTGTCGTATCCTGGCGGTTGGCCAGCGCATATGGCGTTGTCGGAGACTGAACCAAAGTGTAGTTGCTGTCCTGCTTGCCAGTGCGGGTCGACTTGGCGCTCCCTGCCGAGAACACTTGGAATTGGCGCTGGTGCTTGGAGGAACCCTCCAGATGCGCGCGCTGGCCGCGATACTTGTAGCACCACACCAGGGCCACAATCACCACAAACTGCAACACCATCGTCACAATAGAAACGACAAACGTGGCAGTGACGTCGTCCTTGAGGGCCGAGATGTCCGCCGAAGAGGCCGACGCACTGTTGTCCGAGTCTCCCGTGGGTGTCGCCGTCGTGCTACTCTCCCCATCCGAATCGTCATCAATGATGCTGCTGGTTTCCAGGTAAGTATTGCCATCAACGGACACAACGGAAAAATTGCCACCGTTCTGCAGTGCTTGCTCAAGGAGGTACACCAAGACCTCGCTCGACTGCTCCGAGTTGTCGCGACGACGCGCAGAAGCTGCTGCCGTGAAGAGCAAGCTGACGGCCGTTCGGTTGTCAGCCTCCTCGGAGAAGCGCTGAACAGAGATGCGGGAGGTCGCCACGCCGAGGATACTGGCCAGTTCCGAGGCGATGCGTGCGGCCAGCGCCTGTGCCTCCTCGCTGTTGATGTCCGCGTAGGCCTCGTCCCACGTCACCGTCAGGACCAGGTCGTTGATGGCTACCGACACACTGGACGTGGTCGTCGGGGCCTCGTACTCGTACGTCCAGCTAATCTCACTGGCTGCGTTCTGCGCCAGATCCAGCACGCCCGTGATGACAACCGTCACACTCGAGCCAGCCA